TCTGGCAGTTGTCAGTGATGGTACTGGCTTTTCATATTTAGTTAAAATAAATTCTTCGAAAGAAAATGAACACTGGGAGTTGCTGCAGTCAAATTATCTTTTTAAAGATGAATTACCTTATTTGTTAGTTGACTCTTATTTAGAAGTAAATGACACCAAATTATTGCATTTGGTACTAACACAAATAGAAGAAAAAGTACCTGACGATAATGATAAAAAAAATAAATGCATGTTTTGCACCACATTAAAATGGATTACTTTCAATGAGGATGATTCAAAACTTTGGGTTAAAAAACATACTAAAATATTAAAAATTGATGGATCTGTAGATTATGTTGCTGTAGAACCTTCAGGTAAAGGAATTCACATTATTTGTGATAAACTTCCTCGATGGGTTTTTAATTCAGAAAATTTAGAATTGAAGGAAGTAGAGAATGATAAAACAAATAATAGTAAAAAGACATATTTTTGGACTCAAAACACTGAAGAAATTACTGTTTGGCTTCAGTTTCCTGATAATGTCACAAAAAATGATATAAATATTGTTATTACTGATACAGAAATTGAAATAAATGTAAAAAATGAATCATATGTAAAGGGAAATTTTTTTAGAAATATAGATAATAGTTTAACCTCATGGTCTTTTGAAAAAAACAAACTTGAAATACTATTAACAAAACAAGAAACTGGCCTAATGTGGAGCTCATTTATAATGAATAATAATGATGGTGAGGAAATATTAGATCCTGACACTGTATCTCAAATTCATGAAAAACTGGCTCATTTATGTTCAGAAAAAGAAGAAAATTTTCAAGGATCATTAAACGGACAACATTTGGAGGAATGTGATACATTAAACAATGAATCAAGTGCTTTAATTAGACTTGACAGTAATACCCATGAAATAACTCATCAAATAAGTTTATCTTGTTCTCAATGGTTATTTAAAATAAATTATGATTCAACCCAAACCCCTGCAATATGTTGCAGAAATGATGTTGATGCTTGTGTATGGCAATTAAAAGAAGGTAATAGTTCAGATAAAAATTGGCCTTATGAACATTTAGGCACATTTTTTGCCTTTGGATATGTTCAAGCTTCAAAAACCGAAAAAAAATTTCTAGCAAGTGCTCCTAACTTATCATATGTAGTAGTATGTGAAACTTCTCGACACATATACATATACAGACAACCATCCCTATTGACAAGTGAACTCAAAAATAGGCATACTGGCCAAAGAATCAAGAAAATTTCAAAACAACAACTTGTCAACTTAAATGTAAATCAACAAGTTCAAGGTCTTTATGCGACAAATGATATTTTATATGTTTTACTAGAAAATTCTGTTATGATTTTAATTATTAATGAATAGAAAGATTTTATGGCCTACAGAAGTATTTTAATTTTTAAAATGCAACAAAAACACACCAGGTATCGATGATAACATGAAATCATATAAAGATTTTGTGTTCAGAAACAGAAGAAAGATTTAAGGAACACTAAATAGACAACATTTGAAGAAATGTGAAACATTTAGTAATAAGTTTAATTAAAAAAAGAATTTTTTAAAAACATAAAAGATTTGAGTATATATTTATAAAAGCTATTTAAGATTTAATATAACAAATATAAATTACACATAAATGTTTTCTATAGTATTAGTTATAAGTGCCATGAAGAATATTTTGAACCCACAAATAATGTACACATATAAAAATAAAATAAAATAAAATTTATTTAATAATTTCTTTTGAGATGTTTTTTAATCGTTGTATTCCCTCTAAACAAAAGATTTATTTGTTAACTATTTGATGCACTGCATCTTGTATATTTGGATATTTAAATTGAAATCCTATTTCTAAAGTTTTCTTCGGTATTACTTTTTGACCTTCTGTCATAAGTTTTGCTCTTTCTTCATTTAATGCTAAATTGAGCAAAAAAGCTGGAAGTGGTAATAAAGCTGGCCTATTCATTGCCTTAGCAAGAGCATTACTAAAGTCTTTATTTGTAATTACCTAGCAAATCGGACATAATTAAAATAAATTTTATTTTTATTTTGAAATGTTAGTGACCTTAACTTATTCAGGTGTTAGAAACATATAGTTTTTTAAATACTTACATCTGGGGCAACTCCATTGAGTACACCTTTCACTGAAAAGTTTTCAATAGCAAAGGTGATTAATCTTGTTAAATCGTCAATGTGAATCCATGGTAAATATTGAGAACCATTTCCAATTGGTCCTCCTAAACCCATAAAAAAAGGTAACCATAATTGTTTAATCATGCCACCATCTTTTCCCAAAACAACACCTGTATTTAAATATTAATAACTATTATTGCAGTAAATATCTTAAATTTGAAATGATAATAAAGAGTTTTTTAATCTAGTTATTTTTAATAATTTAAAAATTAAATGATTTGCTTAATAGTTGTAATAATTAGAATTATAAACATTATTATTCAAAAATCATTTTAATATTTGTATTGAACACCTACCAGATCTAATAATAACAGTTCTAATTGAAGCTTCAAGTGCTCTGTTTGCTGCATATTCCCAGGCTAAGCATAAACCAGACAAAAAATCGAATTCTTTTACTAATGATTCTTCATTGTATTCTTCTGTGTGACTAGGAGAATAAACACCTTGAAATCAATTAAATCTACAATGTAAAACATATTTCTACAGAATAATTAAACACAAAACTCTCAGTTTTAATTGATAAAAAAAAAAAAAAAAAAAATTATCAAAAGTTTAAATTTTTAATTATTAATCGTAATTTACAGATTTCGTGTAATTTTTAAAACTTATAAATTAAAAAAAAAAAAAAAAGATCAGTATTTACATACCAACTCCTGAAATTGAAACGAAAGCTTCTGGTTTATGTTTGGAATTCAAACTAGCTTCAGCCAGTGCTTTAGTAGTATTTACCCTACTCGACCAAACATCTTGCTTAAATCCTGAACTCCACCTTTTCGTAGGATCAAGGACATTTTGACCAGCTAAACTAACTACAGCTTTTGTATCAGATGGAAGTCCTTTTAATTTTAAATCTTCCTGAAAATTGGATACAATTTTAACATATGCCAATTTATTTGTAAGTTTCAAATAAACTTAAGTATTAATATTTACAAAAGCAAAAGTATATTTGACTTTACAACTACAATATTAAAAAAATTTTTTTATAACAACTTTTTAATTTATTTACCCAAGATATTCGGCCACTACCGGGTACACGAGACACAACAGTAACTCCATAACCTTTTTCTTTAAGATAAGAAGTCAAATGTCTTCCAACAAATCCAGATCCCCCACCTAAAAACAAAAGTTTTTAAAAAATTTTTAATTAAAGTAAGATTGTCAGTGAGAATAATTTATTTTAAATGCAACAACATAACCTATAAGAATGTTTTTCAGTGAATTTGACATATTTCCCTAAAAGTATTAAAAAGATAATAACAGGAAGATAAAGCAAATTTGGTTAAGGAAAAATTTAAAGTTTTATAATATTTTTCTGCTACCTTTACTTAATATTCAACAATGCCTCCCGGATTTTCAATCTCTTTCAACAAAATGAAAACACTAAAAATTAATAAAATATCTTATTGTAAAAAATAATTATAATTTTTATAAATAAAAACTTACCTTATTAGTTTGAATAAAATAAATCCGTGAAAAAGTTTTGTTAAAATTTAACTTCCTTAATTCTGTTTTTAAAACGGAAAAAACGTATCGCGGAGTTACGGAATGTTACACAAAAAAACCGTTAAAACCTAGCAGAAGACGCGACATTTTAAATAATGGAAACTTTATTATCTTCATGCTGTTATAAATAACGTCCATTTCCTACCTTACTTTTTTTTTTTTTTTTAATTTTATTATTAACGGTTTTAAATAATTTTATTAAAAAAAATTAAAATTGTTAATTTATTAAACTATATTTTATTTCATAATATAGTAGACAAAAAACTTTATCAAATTTTTATGTGCATAATTTCAAATTTATTAAAAAAAAAAAAAACAAACTATCAAAATTCAAGTGAAAAAATTTTTCAACATCTAATTCTTTAATGTGAGCCTAATAAAATTATTTTTTATTAACAAACAAACCAAAATAAAAAAATTCATTCAAATTTTTTAAATATATTTAAAAAAAAAAAAAAAACGCTTAAATTAACCCAAAATTTACTAATAATTAAAATTATATTTATTGGTCAATTATGTAAATTCTGTCTAAATCAATAATTTTTTTTCAAAAATTTATTCTCAATTAATTAATAAAATAATAATAATAAACTTTATGTGATAATAATAATAATAATAATAATAATAATAATAATAATAATAATAAAAATACAAACAAAAAAAAATTATACAACAAATAAATGAAAAATCAATAAATCAAATTCATATATTATTATTATATATATGATATGGCGTCAATTTTTAATTAATTTTTTTTTTTAACTTTCTAATAATTTTATTATTTAATTAAATTAAATACATTTTCTCCGTGGAATTATATAATCAATCGATTACGAATTTTTTTTTAATAAATATTACCCGCTTATTATTATTATCATCATTAATTATAATATTATAGAAAAAAAAATTTTTTTTTTCTTTCTCTAATATAAAACTAGACAACAAATGACTAAAAAATAAAATTATTAATAATTTTATTTGTTTTGATTTTTATTTATTTATTTATTTTTTTTGGAAGCATCAGAATTAATAAAAAAAAAAAAATCAAAAATTCAACCATATTATAAAACCATTCAAAATGAAAGGTATATAAATAATAATAATAATAATAATAATAATAATAAAGAAAAATTATAAATAATTATTATAATGGCGTCCAAAAATTTAATTTTTTTGAGTTTGCATGAGCCATTAATATAATGGTAAAAAATTTTTATTATTATTATATTTAAATTAAACTTTTTAATAATTATATTATTATTATAATTTACAATAACTAAACTCTTTTTTTTCTCCATAAAAAGTTATTATTAAATAAAAATGTTTAAGCCTTGTTTAAATATTAATAAAAAATATTGCTTTGCATTCTTAACAAGTTTCCTTCATTCACATCCTCCTCCTCTTTTTTGATGCTTCAGTGGCTCATTTTACAAAACAAATTATTTATTTATTTATTTATATATAAATATATGTAAGTAAACTGTTGTGACTAAAAATCATAACTCATAACTTATTCCACTAAAACAACACTAAAATCATTTTTTAATATTACCTACTGATTCAAATCAACACCAACATTTTATCATCGATTTCATCTACAATTTTTTATTATTATTATTTTTACACTCTTCAATTAAATGTAATTAATTACAATCAATCAATCAATCAATCAATCAATCATCTACATAACAATACAGTTTTTAATATATTTATATATATATATATTTTTCATATAAGAAAAAAAATAATAAAAAATAAAGAAAAAAAGAAAAAACAAATTTCCAAATATAATTTTTTTTTTTTTTATAATTTAATAAAGATTCTAATTATTATTATTATTATCTAAACAAAATTTTCAAAATTTGCTTTACAAGAAAAATGAAATTAGATTATTTCTTCATATTTAAAAAAAAAAAAAAAAATTTCTCATAAATAATAATAATAATAATAATAAAAAACAAAAGACTAAAATCGTCCTCGTTGTGATAACTTATAATAATATAGAAAAAAAAAAGAAAAAAAAAGAAAATTTCCTATCAATAAATTAAAAATAAATTTTTTTTTTTAAATTTCTCATT